GAGATTGGGCCATGACCCACCACGCGGGCCCAGTGCGGATTGGTGGGTGCTAACGACTGCAGATGCAGCCGGGACCAACGGCTTAACGTGCCTTCCGAAGCACGGAGGAGCTCGAGATAGTAATTTTTGGTCACCCATCCAATGACCGACCACTGCGAAAGTTGCTTAAGTTCAACGATCGCAGCCGAACGCGCCAACCACTTGCGCCATCGAGCTCCAGTCAGTCATACCATAGATAAATGTATAGACTAAAATGGCCGACAGCGTTTTTGTATGTCCATGAAAAATCTATTTTAAAATTAAAGTTTTGTAGCTTTCTAGGTAAAAAAATTACAATACAAATTTTTTTTCGGTCTAATTGAACAATTATTAACCATTTAAAACATTTCCAAAAAGTGTCAACTGTGTGTTGGATTATAAACACTATACGAGAGTAAATCTGGATAATAGGGGTGATGACGGGGTACAGTAAACGAAATTCTATTTAGTCCGTCAGTTGGATGATCAAAAAATAATGGACACGTATTTTTTCTTTGGGCAATCAACCAAAAAATGACAAAGTTATAGCGCGTCAAAGTTTGGGAGTAGGGGCTCGTGACGTCACTTTTGAGTGAATTTTCCCTTATAAGTGTACTCAAACGTGACGTCATGCGACTTTTCAAATCAATATATCTCTGCAATGTTTATATTATGTGAAAAAAGAAAAAATATGTGTCCCATACTTTTTTAATTATCTACTTGATAAACGAAGAAAAAAAAATTTGTCATCATCCCTATTGTTATTGTGAGTGATCACACCAATATGTATTAACATCGACACCTCTGCACACTGATACTAAAAGATGGATTCGTTTATACTTTGGTTACGTAGGCTTTGCTGGGGTTTGTAGTTAGTGTTGTGCTATATAGCTTCTTCAGCGTAACCGAATCTATCGGATATCCAAAATATAAAAATATTCGAAAATGTAAACGTATTTGATTTAAAATTTACATTGATTTCGAATATGATTAGAACCTTTTCCTCTTTTCCAAACATATCTATACTAATATTATAAAGCTGCAGAGTTTGTTTGTTTGTTTGAACGCGCTAATCTCTGGAACTACTGGTCCGATTTGAATGATTCTTTCAGTGTTGGGTAGTCCATTTATCGAGGAAGGATCAAAATTAGGGATCCGTAATAAAATTGCTATTTTGTAACACAAGGTGTAAAATGGAAAACCTATTTTTGCGTGCGCTGCAAAAACTTTTGACAATAGAACAAAATAATGTACTACGGGTTTGTAGATCCCATTAAGACCTACAAAAAAGTCCGCAAAAAGATATATCTAGCTATCATGGTTTAATCACAATAACCGATTTTGTATTCAAAATCAGTATTTTCACGGAAACGAGAAAAACGCGGGTGAAACCACGGGGCACGGCTAGTTAATGGATAATCCGAAATATTTTCATTTACATATCCTTATCTGAGAATGCTCAAATTTTATTAATTAATTTATTTTTTAAGACCCTGAATGAAGGTAAAAATGACTCTTTCGCTGAATGTGTTGCTAAGCGCAAATCTCGAGAACAGCTGAACCGATTTCGATAATTCTTTTTTTAGAATATTCCTTGAAGTACGAGGATGGTTGTTACGCAGAGAAAAATTAAAAAAAAAAGCCTTAAAAAGTCCAAAAACAACACTTTTATACTCCCATACAAACGATTTGTAATAACACTTAAAAGTCAATTTGAACTTTAATACCATGCCATAAATTTCAAACGTTAGTGGAGAGGTTCCGGGAAGGCAAAATAATCGAGTGACGTGATGTCATTAAAAGTTTGGAAAAGGCAAATATACCATTTTCAGTTTTTTTTATATAATTATATGAAGTCATTTTAGTCTACACTACAGCTCTACACCGAAGTGAATCGAGGGCAGGCCACTAGTTTACCAATAAAAAAGGTTCAAAGGTACATCTAATGCTTATATATAAGAAATAATACCTACACAGGCGACGAAAACAAATAAATAACGGATAAATTACATTTTTCATAGATATATCTTATATATAAAATTCTCGTGTCACAATGTTAGTTACCATACTCCTCCGAAACGGCCTGACCGATTTTTATGAAATTTTATATGCATATTCCGTGGGTCTGAGAATACCTGTAACGAAGTGTTCTGAAACCTACAATGCGCCTTCGCGCCAAAATTCAAACTATTGGGTATTGTAACGTAGTGTTCTCATATGGGTTAGGAGGAATGTTATCCCAGGAAATTGATAGAACACTACGTTACACACCCTAAAAATATTTTTTGGACAATATTTATTTCTTTATAATGTTGTACTAAAAATAAATACAAACCTAAATTTTCTCATCTACCATCTGCCCCTGTTTTTATGGCGGTACGCAGTTCGCTGGGTCAGTTTTTGCGTTATATACGCAATATAATAACATAGATAGAAATAATGTTCACACAGTAATCATCTTAAAGGAAATGTACAAACAGAAATAATAATAACAATTAATGATTACATAAAATGTTGATCATTAGAATTATGTTCTTAGAATAGTGATTGCAGTAGATGAGCGTGAACCTTCTTCTAAAAATCGGTTTATTAGGAGATTTTGCTATAAAATTATTTATATGTCGGATGGGCGAGCGGGATAGGCGGTTGGCCACGTGGTTCATCTTGATCCGCCATCTTGGTTATTCAATGATATTTCCCGAAAATAAAACTGTAGTCTAGTGACCAAGCTAACGTTTAAATTTGAATCTTCTAATCATTTTACAAAATCAGCAATGATTGCAAAGGCACAAACGGATTGCTTTGCGAAGCGTGGAGAGTTCTATGCTAACGTCCGTTCACTAACGCGGCTCACGTCTGAATGCTGAATGCTCCTTCTAATGAAGCATAGCCCCTTAAATACTACCCTTAGCATAGACCACTCCCAAGTGATGACAGCTGTCACTGTCATTACTAGACGTTTCACAAAGCAATGGTACACTGACTGATGACATTTGTTGTCGGTTTAACGTTTCGAAGGAGCGAGTGAGACGCCATCCGCCGATATAAATATATATCTGTATTAATCCGACCTTGATCCGAAATTTTATATCCATAGCCGCATAGCATCCCTAGAGTTCATGATATTTGAAAACGAAACATGAACATAACGAATCGGTCTTATTTCTTGGAATTCGTAACAGAAGTCTAAAAATAACGAAAAGTACTTTGTTCTGTGGAAAATAACAATTTCACAATAATATTTATAACGCGAAATCGGATTCTTATTTGTTTAAACGGTTCAAAGTAGTACTAGCAGTTTAACGAGATGAAAGAGAACGTGACTAATGGTGCATCAAACATATCGAATCCAAGAATTTATTCGCATACCACGTGTAAAATTTTAGTTTTAGAAGTTACAAGTTATTATTAGATATCGGCTTTCATGAAATGAAATGAAAAGAAATGATACTGAATTCAAATTGACTTAAAATTCAAATTCAATATAGTTTATTCAATCTATGTAGGCTGTTACAAACACTTGTGAATGTCGAAAAGCTACGCCATCGGTTACTAAACGAAATAGGTACGATTAGGGGAAAAGGCTGAAATATGCATAAACGCCATAATTAAAGCACAACATGAAATGAAAAGTCATTTATTCAGTTTAGGCTGTTACAAGCACTTGTGAAGGTCAAGAAGCTACGCAATCGGTTCGTAAAACTACGGCGGGAGACCTTGTACTGAGAAGAACCGGCAAGAAACTCAGCAAGTGCTGTTTTTTTCTCCCTGTATTATATACAGAGTCGTCAAATTGAAAAATGACTTCAATATGAGATAACTCAATATTATTGAAAGCCTTTTTGAATCGTCCAATATTTTTTCCTAACACACATTCAGGATATCTTTTAGCTGATGAGAAGAATGGGCGCTAGAAACTCATCAGCATTTAATAGAAGTAGCACTATTTACATAAAATCATATCGCTACCAATACAACGCCCACGCAAATTATTATTGCTGTATCATACAGTATAAATAAATAATTATGCATTTGCATAAGCATGATCTGATTGAGCTTCCACTAACCAAATTTAAATCTCAGATTAAGAATATTCTTATGAATAAAGACTATTATAAAGTTAATGATTATCTAAATGATCGTAATGCATGGACATAGGGTTTCTTGTAATTTGTTATTTGATGGGTATGAGTCAGTTTTTGTCACAGTAATATGGTACCTATCTAATGCCGCTTCCTATATACTAAATATAAAATTTATTGTTACTATATACCTATATATCCTAAATAATGTAATGGAAGGTGACTTCGAAAGTATCTCTGAAGTCATTTTTCAACTTGACTACTCTGTATATATCAATACAGAGAGAAAAAAGCAGCCCTTGCTGAGTTTCTTGCCGGTTCTTCTCAGTACAAGGTTTCCCGCCGTAGTTTTACGAACCGATTGCGTAGCTTCTTGACCTTCACAAGTGCTTGTAACAGCCTAAACTGAATAAATGACTTTTCATTTCATGTTGTGCTTTAATTATGGCGTTTATGCATATTTCAGCCTTTTCCCCTAATCGTACCTATTTCGTTTAGTAGCGGAATATTAGTCTATTAGTATTTAGTAGTTATGACTCACCAGGAGGGTAGTCGTGGTAGCTGACAGTGGTGTAGAGAGCGAAGGATGCAGCAGCCAGTAAGGAGACCGGCCATAATGCAGCCACTATCCACAACTCTACCCGGAGACCGATATGTCATGACGATGACGTACCAGGGAGATAATCGTGGTAGCTGACAGTGGTATAGAGAGCCGAGGGTGCAGCAGCTAGTAAGGAGACCGCCCATAGTGCAGCCACTGTCCTCAATGCTCGACGGAGACCAGCCATCGCGTACAGATGCAGGGGGTGGCAGATAGCCAGGTATCTCTCCACGGAGAAGGCTGCAATAATCAGCATATAAAAGTACGAAGCTCTGAAAGGATAAGTGATTATGACTCACCAGGAGGGTAGTCGTGGTAGCTGACAGTGGTGTAGAGAGCGAATGGTGCAGCAGCCAGTAAGGAGACCGCCCATAGTGCAGCCACTATCCTCAACGCTCGGCGGAGACCAGCCATCGCGTACAGGTGCAGGGGGTGGCAGATGGCCAGGTACCTCTCCAGGGAGAAGGCCACGATGGTCAGCACGGAGACGTAGGACGCTCTGGAAAAAGAAGCATCATTGTATTAATTTTCTTGAAACAAATGATGAACACACACAGTTTTTTACAAATTATTTTCTGGAAGTGTTCTGAGGGATTGGAAATTGTTACTTTTGCAAGTTTATGATCAAGTTGCTAGCCATTATTTTTCTGGTCTATGTAGTCCTTAATAATTAGTTTGGAATTTTAGGTTTCGGGCCGGTCGGTCTTGCTACAAATAATTAAATCCGGACATCTAACAACAATTATTTAGTCCCAAACTTAAAAGAGCTTGTATAATGTAAACTCTAAACAGCTTGAAGTCGGAAAAAAATATTTCAAATAAATCACAGGATCGCTGAAACAAGAACGGGTCGTATTTTCTAATTTTATTGTTCCTAAAACTGTGTAATTAAAGCGTTATCGTCCAATGGAATATCTTCTTGTCTACAGGTCTTGTTGCGAGGCAAAAACAGATTTTTTATTTATTTATTTCCACGGGTCATCGCAAAACCATTCAAACTGCTTACCGAACGGAACAAATGCAACATTTGATTCCATTGAAGTGCCGCAATTCAATTCCGAGTTAAAAATTTTGTAGGAATATTTTAAATTACGTAACCTCCTCATTCGAGGAAACGAAAAGAAAAACAGTATTTCACGCTAATGGACATTCGCCACATCATTTGCGTATACATTTTCATACAAACTGAAACCTGTTTAGTTTTAATACTTTTCAATTGGAAACTCCCTAATACAACTATTCAGCACCTCTATCGACGTAAAAATACACGGGCTCCTTCTATACAAAAAACGATGATTATACGATTACGGATCTCGCAAGGTTCGTTTTTGGGCCTCCGATCCATCTCAGTAAGACTTCCACAGTAAACTTGCAAAACGATGACGATAACAGTTTAGAACATTCTAGGCTAAAATAGTACATAAACTATGTACTATTTTTAGTAGTCAGCAGGGAACTATTTTAAACGCAGCGAGGGATACAGAATTCATCGCTCTACTAATTATTATAGCAATTTTAGCATCCGATGAAATGTGCTCGGGAGTTAATCTACTAATACATACTGTCATTCTCACTACTTGAGGAAGACACACTAATTTTTGATAAAACCAAATCAAATCTGAATTTGAGTAAACTATTACGAACGAAGGTATGTATATGTATGCTCTTGAGTTCGGAACCATAAGGACTCACGGATTAAGACCTTAATTTCGTGATAGTAGAAAAATATTAAACTTAAGGGCTTGTTTCAAAAACTTCAAGTGAAGTTCTAACTAATAAATCTATTCAGCACCCCTATCGATGTAAAAACACACGGGCTCCTTCCATACAAAAAACGATGACTTACGATTACGGATCTCGCAAGGTTTGTGTTTGGGCCTCCGATCCTTCTCAGTAAGACTTCCACAGTAAACTTGCAAAACGATGACGATAACAATTTAGAACATTCTAGGCTAAAATAGTACATAGTTTAGGTAGTGAACCGGGAACTATTTTAAACGCAGCGAATGATTCAGAATTCGTCGCTCTACTAATTATTATAGCAATTTTAGCATCCAGACAATGCTATACTAATTGCGCTATAAATTATAGTGCGTATTACAAGCCCACACAATAAAGTAAAGTGTGAGTTATAAGCTATTATACTTATAGTGTAACGTCATTTGAACGCACCTTTAAGTTCGAAGTAGCTTACTTAGAACTTAACATATCAATTGTGAAACAGGGCTAATTAAAGCCTGCTTCCAATTTACGCAGAAAAATCCAAAATTAGAAAATAATAACGTATCTATTTAACTATAAAGACAAATGCGTGTTCAATGTAAATATCGGTTATAACATAGCGTACAACATTTTATCGGGCCTAAACTACGTAATCTATCACCCGTGTTATGTGAATGAGAACAGAAACAACAACTTGAAACTTCAATATCATATGCATTCTACCCAGGCAGTTAACAAACAATATTGTGAAGTCGAAAGGCCTCCTCAACAATTTCAAACTCTAATACCGAAAGCCTTGTAAGTGCTGTCTGGGATACTGGGAAGAATTGAAGTGACTCAACAAGGCATGTTATACGTCCCTCTCTATTTTGATTTGTAATCGTTTCGTAGACTTAGATTAAAACAAAACGGCTAGATACGGTACGCTCATACTTGCATCAAACAAAAACTGATCCCACGGCAGCGCGAACGGGACGGCGAGATCCGCGTCACTGCATTACCGACCCGAACGAAACAGCATGTTAAGTTTCAACGGCAGCGCGAACGAGACGGCGAGATCCGCGTCACTACACTACCGACCAATCACGCAACCAGTACTCGACGTCACTACCGAATAAGATTCAAAACAAACAGCAATTTTTATGAAAAAATATATTTTATAGTACTTACGAATGAAAACTGATGCCGTGGGTTTTATATTTAGTTCTTAGGCAATTTGAGCACTTTTTAAAAACACACTTAGGTATTGTTTTATCACATAAACACAAAATATTAGCAATATTTCTTTTTGGCGTTCACATGTACGTCGTTTGCATGTCAAGTTGTGACTAAAGCGATTAGGGTCGTGGACCACAATTCATGCGGATCACTTTTGTGAGCCTAGTGCCGTATCTACCCTTTTTTTTAATCATTAGAATTTTAATTTTAATCATAAAGTTAGTAGACTTTTTTTATTTACTTTTGACCATGTATGTGTATGCATCTGCCATGTGTATGACATAAATATATTATACTACGACATATCGTAAGATGATAAATGATAGATCCAATAATCGAGATAGTCCTACGGGTTTTTCGAAACTACGGGTAATTAGACAATGAAATGAAAAGTCATTTATTCAGTCTAGGCTGTTACAAGCACTTGTGAAGGTCAAGAAGCTACGCCATCGCTTCGCAAAACTACGGCGGGAGACCTTGTACTGAGAAGAACCGGCAAGAAACTCAGCAAGGGCTGCTTTTTCTCTCTGTATTATATACAGAGTCGTCAAATTGAAAAGTTACTTCAATATGTAATAACTCATGTAGTCACTTTCCAATAATGTAATGATAGATAGATAGATTTTTCTCCCTGTATTATTATATACAGAGTCGTCAAGTTGAAAAATGAGCGGACGGGACTCGAACCCGCACCCTTCGCAATCCGGGCGAATGCACTGACTAGGAAAGGCTGGGAAAATTTCGACGCGGCACGAAATTGCGAAGGGTGCGGGTTCGAGTCCCGTCCGCTGCCTGGTCCGCGTGGTTTTTTTTTCTAGTAAACTTTTCTTTAGATTTAAACATCTAGCAGTTAAATGCTTAAAAACAAATAAAAATATAACATTAGATTGAAACAAAAACAGCGTAACGGGCAGTTGTAACAGAAATAAAAGTCACGTTAAACATTACACATTTTTAACGAGTACACTTCAAATGCGAACGGTTTTGAGAGCTTTCGAAAATTAACTGCAATTTGGAAGCGGCACAAAGCGGCGTGCTCATATTAAAATGTTACTATGCAAAACGTTTTGAAACATCGTTATAGCTCCGCGGTTCTGCCGTGAAAAGGATGCCTTAAATTGTTATGAAAATCCGCTAAAGTGTGTTTCATAAAAACGCGGATTGTTTTGGGGATTAATTTAAAATAGTATATAACATTACAAAAAAATGTGTGCGTGTACTAGTGTACACACGTAAGAAGTGAAACTTCTTTATGGCCTTATTTTTCGAAAAATGATCTACATGCAACTTTCCAGAAATTGGTTAAATAAAGTTAAATTAGATAAAGTTTAAACAAAAGGATTTTATTATCATAGACATGAATACAAATTACTGCCTATGAAACTGTTATGATTACACGGCTCAGTAATCTAAGGCACATGTTCCACCTCCGACGATGAACGATAAGCGAGTAGAAACTAGAAACGAATTGGCAGTCCTGAGTTAAAATGCACGCGCATGGCTTTTGACAGCCAAGCCAGCTTAACCGAGAGAGTATAGCTGAGCGAGTATCGCTGAGCTAGTATCGCTGAGCGAGTATCGCTGAGCGAGTATCGCTGAGCGAGTATCGCTGGGCGAGTATCGCTGAGCGAGTATCGCTGAGCGAGTATCGCTATGCGAGTTTGGCTGAGCGAGTCTTATCTTTAATAACTATTGTCACTCAGCTACAAACGAGTAGAGAGAGTTCTCGCCGGCGACAGTGTGATCATTCAGCTATCAACTATTAATATAAAAAAAGATGGCGCGTAACGGAAAAATGAGACGCGTAACCGAAAAATGTGACGGTAAATTTTTTTCCAACGCCGATAAAGAAGTTTCACTTCAAAAATGCACGGAATGGTTGTTAAAACTATAACTGAGGGCAAAGTACGAATTTTTGACAAAAAAATGTGAATTTGTTTCTATGATAGGCTTGTCATGTATGCGTAAAGTTATATCATTTGATTTCCGTTTTCTATTAAAAAATGGCATATACTTAGTTTTATTTTTATTCAAATTTTAATTATTATTTTGAGCCAATTAGAAATATTATTTATAGTTATATTATTCTATTATTATATTTTAGGTCAATTCTATTTGTAATATGTACAGAAATGTCGTCAGCGAATAAATTGCATTGGTGTGGGGTAATACTGGGTAAATCATTGATGTATATTATAAATAGCAAAGGTCCTAGTATAGTGCCTTGTGGGACACCTACATTATTAACATTAATATTGGATTTAAATGATATTTCCTGTTTATTTTTTAATTTCAACATATTGACGCCGATTTCGTAAATAAGACTCTAGCCAATTTAAAGCTACTCCTATCAAGCCATATCTTTCAAACAAGAAGAAAGAAAGTCAAATGCTTTGCTCATATCAAAGAAAATAGGTATTGTATCTACATTTTTGTCCACATTTTCAGTTATAGTCTTTATTAAGTTAAATACTGCAAGCATAGTAGACTTGCCTTTGCGAAAACCATTTTGTTCATGCATAAGAATATTGTTTTTCCAAAAAATCATAGACTCTCGTATGCATTGCTTTTTCAAATATTTTAGATAATATAGATGTTAATGCTATTGGTCTGTAATTATCCAATACATCAGTGTTATTCTTTTTGTGGATAGGTTTTATGACAGATATCTTCAATATTTCCGGGAATTTACCTTCTGTA